CAATTTCATGAACAGTATCTGTGATTTTCAATCAGTTGACCACATCTCTGAAACTCAGGGCCAATTAACATTACAATAAGCATGCTATTATTGTAAGAAAGTGTTTTAGTAGAAAATACAGATGCCCCAAATTTGTCAGGCTGTGGCTTATCTACACAGCCAAGAGCATAACCAAGAAGAAGAATTAGAAAGTTGGACAGAAAGATAATCTCTATTTGAAATTTAAAAGTGTCATACATTTCTGATGTCAATTATAAGATCCTAATTTTTAGTTTCAATAATGAAGACTTATCCCTGGCAACATTTTATTTCCATGTGGAAGCTCTGTATTTATGTCTCAGATTTTTCTTTATGAGAGGCTGACTTTCATAGGAACCCAGCATGCTCAGAAAAGTCTCTCACAGTATACATTTTAAGATGGAATAATCTGTTTGTTCAGATTTAATTTTGACTCCCAATAGAGACCAGGAGACTAAAGCAATTTATCTCTCAACTTGCTAGAGGGTGTCTTAAGTTTCAGTAAGCAGCAATATTATATCAACGTGGACCATTTGAGTAAACTTCTTACCATGAGACAATAAGTAAACTTCTTGGTTTAAAATTAGAAACTAAACAATTTGTCTTGTCATCCTGTGGTGCTAAAATTATGAAAAACAGGTCTCTAAAGGTTTGTGTGACCGATGAATCTAGTGTACGGCTGGCTTTATTCCATCACAGTGCTCTGAAATCCACTGAAGACCTCTTTGCTTGAATATGAAATACCTTCAAGGTGATGCTTAAAAATTTTCCTTAAAATATTTAGGCAGAAGGATAGTAGGGAAAACACGATGACTGAATTCTATCATCTGTGCCTCTGGTGGTTATTTTACATGCCGGAGTTTCAATTAAAGCATGAAGTGGTACTGGTGAAGCCAGGTGCTTTCTGGGGGAAGGACTGAGGAAGTCTGAGTTAGGATAGGTAAGTGATTAACACTGACACTACCTATAATCCATCCATCCATTCTTCCACCCATCATCCATCCATATCTGTCTGTCTATCATCTCTCTGTTCATCTATCATCTTTATCATCTGTCTTTCCTCCTTCATCAAGAGAAGGGAAAGATCTCAGTGATCTGAATTCTCAATCTCACCTCCTTTGTATTTTCAGGGAAGCTTTCGTTTCAGTGGGCATGCCGTCCAAGCTTACAGGGAACTTTCGTGGCCAGCAGGTCAGGCGATTTGCTCAGCTTCACCACCTGCTTGACGGGTGAGAACTGGGCTTGTTGGCTTTCTGAGTTGAAGGCACAGCTATTCATCTCTGTTTCTTCAGCACTTAGCACAGAGAAAGTCACCAAAATAACCGATCAGTCTGTGATGTGGCTCCCTCTGCTCATCCAGGACAAAGAATCTTCCGGTGCCAAGTCTGAGTGGGAGGGAGTCAGGGGCCGGGTGGAGGGGAAGGGTAACAGCTGAGACTTTTGCTTCTCCTCCTTTAATTCCATGCCCTGCACAACTTATCCATTTTTATAAAATTTCCCAAGTTTCTTTGACACAAGGTTCATATTATCCAACACTCAGCACTATGATGACATTAGACCATGGAATTTGGCTGATTTGGTGTCATTGCTCCTTTGTTCTGGATAATACCTCACATCCATTCCTTTTAGGTTGATTCAGGGTATATTTTGGTGGATCAGGGGCTTGAATCGCTCTTCTAAAGAAGTATATACTTTAACATTATGGCACATATCTTAATATTTTATATAGCGGAGAAAATAGCTATAAATTAATGTGATGGGAAACAGATACTTCTTCATCCAGTGTGTTTTTCTGACATTTAAGCTGAAAATAATTTCTTAGCCAAATAATTTTCAGACAATCTAAATAAAAATACCAAACAAATTCTTGCACTTAAAAAAAATAGAGTAAAGTAGTACTGGAAAAATGTATGGTTGTGAATATTAAGTGTCCTATAAAGATTTGCATTTGTTTTAGTTTCATTTGATAGAGAGGAGGATTGTGTTGACTAAGTGCATACTTACAGCTTCTCCTAATCCTGATTCCCTATGTGAATTTGCCCTTAATAAAATTGACCAGCTGAGCTTTCTTGTTGGGTTTAATAAGGAAACAGTAAGATAACTACACTACCAATAAAATTTGGGGACTTGAAAACGAAATTGTATTTATGATAAAAGAGGTAGAAAAAAATGGCCCTGAACCAAATGCCATTTCCTGTTTATTTCTGGAGAAGAAATACAGCTATATGGAGTAAGACATAATCATTTGCACATTCCACTGAGGTCTATACTGTGTTTTCTCCCAGTCTCTCTAAGCACTCACAGTTGATTAAGTGCTTCACCATCTTCTGTGTTCTATAAAAATACAAGTTTGATCTTTGCATTTATATTTTGACTATGTAAGAAATGCACATGGTGTTGAGAAAGAGCTCTTTAAAACAGAAGCACAAAATACCCAGTCACAAGGAGTATGGATGTTTAATATACAATATAATTTATGACAAATTTAAATTAACATAACTGCACACATCTTACATATTTTACATGGCATATATACATATTACATATATATATTTAAATATATTTCTCTCTAAATTACACTTATATATGCTATTTGTATTTTTCTTTAATTTGCTTGAGAAAACAATGTGTACAGTTAGATCTCACCCCACATCCAGAAAGGCTTGAGCAAATGCAAAAATTTTAAATAAAATTTAGAATATATATGTTCAGTCACAGTTTTAGGGATACTATATAGTTTCTGAAAGAATAGTTAAGTAAAAAGATTTTGTATAAAATATAGAATAATAACAGAGAAAAGCATTTAAAGCATTCAAATGAACTTAATTTTCTTTAACTTTTACTTATTTTAATGTCATATACAATTTGTCATACCAGAATTAAAATATTTAGTGGGATTATATACTAACATTTCTTTATTTCTTGGTGATGTTTAAAATACCCTTAATCTTAGGTTTAATAAGTATTCTTCATATGTTCCCAGGAAGGAAAAAGATGACTAGTTAAATATAGTCTCTTATTTCCAGCACTGTAAACCAAATGTAATCCTGCAGAGCTGTTGTTTTATATAATCCGTCTGTATCTGTTCCACCCTGGAGAGGAAGAGCTGATAGCTTGTGTCTTTCTTGCACTACATCATTGTGTGTAAATTCACGTGTATCTGTGGAAAAGATGTTGCTGAACTACTTGATGTTTAATGTAGTTGCACTTTGTTTTCTACATATTCCATTTCTATTGTTAGAAGCAAGATTTTGGCAGAAAATAATCTAAAATGAAGATATGCGTCTTTAGTGTTTTAGGTTTTGCTGGAATCCACATTCTAAACTGAAAATTGTCTCCTGCATGTAAATTGCAAAGTTGCAAGTGAGATCAATAATTTAGTAATTAGATTTGGATCTCAGGTGGATTTAGAAGATTCTCTTCCTTTATGCAGTGATGAGTTCTTACTTTGTATTTTAACTCTATTACAAGACAAATTCTGTAAGAAATGGTTCAGGAATTAAACTTTTGTACATATTGAATTTCTCCATTTAATTCTTTTAAAATCAATTAGATGATACCTTTAAAAGTTCTATTGATTCTAAATAAAATAAATTCCAGCTCATGGGTTTCATTCGGTTTTTTGAGTTACATGTTCTGGTATTTATAGAGTCATTGGATATACTTGGTCTTCAAAGTGAGTGATTCTTCATATAACTTGTCTCTTGCCATGTTTTGCAAAGAAGCAAAGGGTAGAGGTTGCTTTCTGTGTCAGATGAATTGGGAACAAAAGGAAGCTATCTTTTCCTGTTAGGTATCTGTAAGTACTGTCAGGTTTTGTGAAATCCTGCCAGACAGAGGCAATTTGACCTCTGCTTCTTGTCTTCCGGGGTCATGACCATGGAGTACTTTTCCCTATGTAGCTTCTACTGCTATCTCAGCTAGTGAACTTCCCAAATACACTTCAGGAAACAGTGGTTTTTCTCAAGTAATTGTCCTTTCCTAAGAAGATGTGTATTATGTGTTTACTTTTCATATAACCTGACAGTGTGTATGTTTGTGGAAGTTTTAGAGGCCCACAGAGCACATCTGTACCTGGTGCTGACTCCTAGCGAAGACACCGTGCCAGGCACTGACTGTTCACAGAATTCAGGGCAAGGGCGGATGGCACCTCAGGGACAGTGGACAGAGGGGCCCGAGAGAATCAGGAATCGGAATTCTAAATCCATTGGTGGTCACGTTATTCATCCTTTTTTTTCCATCACACAATTTGCACCCCTATTTTCTTTTTGTGGTTGCATTTCAGCAGTCTTGATGTTCAGAATTGTCCATTGATATTCCTACTAAAGGGCCAGTTCTATCTCATCACTTTGTAGAATACAGAAATATTAGTGTGTTAGGTAATCTGATAATTTTGGCTATCTGAATTTAGTTTCTTTTAATCCCTATCCGAAGCACATGAAGAAATTTCTTCCAATATTGCTAATTTACACATTTTTTTCTAAGAATCACTTCAGCACTGGAGAGATGTGTATTTTTAAAAATTATTGTTTAACAACATGGTAATAAGACACTTACCTACTTCTTAAGTTTTCCTCTGCATTGTCCAGAATATATGTGTGCATAGGCATGTTTTTGCTTTGTGTGAATGGCTCATTAGACACAGGGATTTTTCACTTTATTTTTTCTTGACAAATCATTCTCAGTTTTTTACTGAGATCTTTTCCCCAATGTATGATGTGCTTTCCTACTACCACTGATATATTTCTTTAATATGTTCATGGAAATATTGGCTAATCTTAATGGATTTTTGTAGAATATATTGTGAAAGGAATATTATGAGGAGCTTATTTTATTTTATTTTCCATGAAAATCAGGCTCCCTAGAAGTTGTCTTTTTTATTAATATACATTTGTCATAAAATATATTCAGTGTTTGTTTGATCTAGTATTTGGTTGGTTTTACTCTAATCAATAAAATGTTCCTCTTTTCTTTTTTTGTAGAGCAATGAAGTTGTCTACTACAATGCTAAGGATGATCTTGATGTGAGTACTAAATATTCTATATTAAATTCTTAGTTATAATGGGATGATTGGGATTACAGAACAAATCGATCTTGGCAGGTTTAGTTTTTAAGAACACATTGATAGTATAAGCAAAATACCAGTTAGACACAGCAGGGAAATGATGAATTTTAATGCTTATGTATTTTATCAGCTTCTTATTGCCCTTTTTTTATGTAGAAATGCCATGTGCTTCTCTAGATTTGTTCCCAGGGAACACCATGTCTAACCCCAAACCTTTCAAATGCTCCACATCCTGCTAGCAGTGCCGAGGGCAGAGACAAGGCCTGGCCCCTGGCTTCCAGTCACCACATGGTTCTCTTCTCCTTTGAACAGCACAAGCCAGGGGCACCATTCACATCAACCCTCACGGGAAGGAGCCAACAGCTCAGAGAGGCTGGCCTCACGGTCCCTCTTTGAAATACAACAGCTACATATTGGGTTCCCACCCACTGCGTCCTGGGAGGGGAATCCAAGGCCTCGAGTGAGTGTTCTACCCCTGAGCTATATCCTCAGCCCACCAGTGGGATTTTCTGGACAAAGACTCTACTGTACATTTTAAAATTAAGTAAGAACGTGGATTATTTCAGCACTAATGAGTTACTTCTAATATCGCCACTCTGGATGAAGGTAGAGGAGACATTTTCAATAGTTACAGTAAAAAAAACTTCAAAAGTTTAACATACAATTTATACTTAAGTTTTAAAATTTCTCATATTTGATTATTGTCTGTGAAAAAAAGCTGTATATAATTATTAATCTAAGAATATTTGTTGAGGTTCTCCTACATTTTAAGCATTTATCTAAGAACTTGGAATATATCAAGGAAGAATCAAATTAATGTAGTAGAATTATATTTGCTACTCAAACATTTCTCATTCAAATAAAAAATTTCATACACACACACACACACACACACACACACACACATATATACTTAGCTGAAATGTCACACCTCCCCAGATTACACCACAGTAATAATGATTATGAAATCATAATTAATTGAGCACTAAATTTTCCCGTATATTGCTAACCACCTTACATAAATTATCTTAATTTCTGCAACAACACTATGAACAAAATGTTTTATTTCCTCCTTCCCTTTTGCTGATGAAGAACTAAACATTTTGAAAGGTGCTTTCCTCCTCTGTATATAAGTAGTTTGCTAGTGAAACTTTCCTTTTACAAAGGTTGTATATATCATTTTAATCTTTAATTAAATATATCAAATGATATGTATCATTTTAATTAATTACAAAGAGTATATACAGCATTTTAACACAAAGTGTTTTAGTGTGTATTGATGTCAGAATAAATATCGTTGGAGGAGAGAAGTTCAGTTTCCGATTAGAATTAGTATTTGATATTTAAGTATTATATAGTCATTTAAAATATATGCAGAATCATCATCTGCCTGCCTGGTAGTGTGTTTGTTTCAGTCACAATGCTACAAAGTTAATATGTATGCCCTGTATAAGTGAAAAAGTGTTCATAGGTTATATATTTGGAATACTTGAGCTGTATTCAGTATTTTCTTACATAGTTTATCTACATAGATATTTATTTAGGTATTCAAATAAAATTCTCTGTAAGAGACAAAAGCATACATAAAAGTGGACGTACTGAATTTTCTTGTGTTTTGTCTTTTCCCATAATGAAAACATGGATAATACTTCTGTGGGTTGTAATTATGAGTATAAAAATGATTCATTCTCTTTGCTAGGCCCAACGTAAAGTTTCCTAAATTTAATCAAAACTTTATAAATAGCAAATTATCGTTTTTTAAATTTGACACCAAAATTTTAGGAAAAGATTTTGGGGAGTTGTTCTCATTTATTTATATGAAATTTATAATAGTGCCAGAACAACTTGCAGAAAGTTGTTTAGTGGCAAAAGAACTAGAATAGAAATGAGAGACTAATTCATAACCCAGATGAGTGCAAATTTTAGCTTCCATTAATGTATTAAAATTGATTACAATTCAGACGGCTATTTTTTTCATCTAAGAATGAGGTAGTTGAGTTCATAAATTGTAATGTCCATTTCTGAAAATGATCGGATTCTAATAAGAATATGTGTGTATAACGAACGTACTCGCACATATGGAGGCTGTGGCCACATTAGAGAATGTGATGCTCCACAGGAAGGAGAGCCATGCATGACCAACCATCTTATTCTACTGTAAACATGTCTTTTTGTTGCACTTTTAAACTTTTTTCATCAACATATATCTTTAGATACTTTCATGATTCTTTTTTTTTTCCTCATTAACTTTATTGGTACATTTTAGGTATAAAATACAGTTATATTCATCATTGGGATCTTGTACCTTTACATGAGTATCTTGGTTCTTATTTTTTTCCCCTTCCCCTCCCTCCCTTCACCCCCTCTACCCTTCCCTATTTGCAAGGACCTTGTTTCCATTTTTTTCCTTTTCTCATATTTTTTCTTTTCCCTTCTTTCCTTTCCCCTACCCCTCCTACTTCCCCTGCTCCTTTAGACCTTTTCTTCCTATTACACAATATCACTTATACATTTTTAAAATTACAATATCAAGACCTAGGAGATATTACCACAGATTTTATAGAATTTAAAAGGACATACAAAGCATATTACAAAAATCTGTTTTGAAATAAATTTGACAACTTCTAAGAAGTACCTTGGAAGACAAATACTTTCATGATTCTTTAAATAAGCAAATCATCATTTCCTATTCCATGAAATACTTGTTAAATCATTGTTTTGAGTTGATATAACACAATTCTATTCTACCTTAGAATTTTAATAGTCTTTTGTGAATATGAACATATATAATAATGGAGTAAATACCCATGTGCATGAACATTTTACTTCATAATTTTTACTTATTTGTAGCATAGATTATCCAGAAGTGGTAGCATTGTGTCAAAGGTTTTAGATATTTTAATACATTTTGGCACATATTGCAAAATCACTTAAAAGGACCAGACCAAATCTCATCAATTTACAAAGTAATTGTTTTCTCAAAGGCTGCTCACCATTGTCTTAAAAGATAATTTAGCACATTCAAATTGTTTTTCACTGCCCTGATTACTTGTGTCTGCTAATATTCCTATTTTACCCTCCACATGGGAAAACCACGCACTTTCGAAAGACTCTTGTCAGCTGTGTAACCTTGTTTACATTTTCCAAGCGAAGTGAAATGCAATCGACTTATCTGTAGAATCTGCACATTGTCAGATGTTCCCTAATATTGGCTAAGATAAAGTTTTCTGCATAGAAAGCTAAGAACCTATTGCCTGACACATGTAAGCATTGAAGAAATGCCATGAGCTTTTAGCCATGTTAATGAGTCTATTTTTTATAAATATGATTTTGATAAAAATAAGATTATTTTGCAAGACATTTTAAAAGATATTTCTAGTATTAAATTTCAATTTGTGTCACATATTTCTACCTGAAATCCGAATAAATTATCAAATACAAATTCAAATGATTCAGAAAGAGTCATCAAATATGTATAGAAATATTTAAGACATTCTGCTAGGTATTTGAGAAAATATTTTTTATTGAGCCCGAACATTTAATTTTATTTTACACTTCTTGTCATCCATGTAAATTAAAGAATCACAACTGATGATGTGGCTACTGTTGCTTACATAAAGCAAGAATGTAATTTGATGAGAGAAAATATTTTGAGGAATTACCTAATAAAGCATAATTCTATTTACTGCTTTTGAAAAATAGCAGGATCAGTAAATTCTCATGTTGAATCTCAGCCTAAGTTAAACTATGAGATGCATCAAGGTAACAGTATAATTTTCTGGATCTAGAATAGTTAATCTAAAAATTCTGAAAGCTTATACAAATTTATAAAATGATTTATACTTCAAGAAGACTTTTTTATTTGAGTAACTCAAAAGTGCTTTAGCTATGGTAATATTAAAACCTTAGGTATGGAATAAAAATGGACCATGTTGCATTCATTACTATATTGGTCCAGCTGTGATAGACACACCTAAACTAAATATGTCTAAATTTAGACAGGATTTGGACCTTCTGCCATCAACATTCAGGGTACACGGGCTAACGTGGCAACCCACAGTCACCCCCTCTCCTCTCACTGTACAGGTAGTGGACCGAGGTGGACACTCCAATGCCCTGGATGTGTTTTTCTTTGTTTTCTCTTTCCTTTCTTGGAGGACATGGCCTTTGTCCCTAAGGACTTGCTCTGGAAGCCACACAGATGGCTTCTGTCCTCAAGTAAACATTGCCTTTGATATTCTGCTTCAGAATTTACAGTGGTTGCTCATTTTCCCCCAAAGATTATTACTTACCTGAGGAAGTAGGCCTTACCAGCAAGAGCATGTGGAATGCAATTTATCCCCTTTGGATGGACCTATTCCCATGGAAAATGGAGAGGTTGCTCCTTAAAAGAGAAGGGGCAGAGCAGTATCGAGGACATAGTGAATAGCTTCTGTTGTGTCTTCAATTTGCTTTTCTTGACATAGTAATGTTGATGCTAACATGCCACCAACCCATCTGAGTGACTGCTACCATTTCAGTACCATCAAATCCTTTGGAGAAAGCAATCTCTTTTATGGTGAATGAATATAAAGTTGTATATTTTCTAGTCCCTCTTAACAGTTCTGTTTAATATTTCTTACAGTGAAAGAAAGCTAAGAACTATAAGTAAATGCTTTACTTCAGAATTTTTAGTCATCACACATTTTCTACCAAAGATTAATATGTATGATGAAGTAGAACTCTTTGGATGATGGGATATAGTCACCCTCACCAAAAGTTTTGCAGTACAGGTGAATTTAATTAGCCACTCTATTCATAATTTCATATATATATTGTTTGATTTTTATCTATCAGATTTTCACAAATCATGTCATCAGATTGAACTCCCCCTCACTTCAAACACACTAATCTCATCATTCTTGCCACTGTCCGCAGCACTTCTGAATTCTTCTCTTACAAGTGTCTCTAGTTGTAAT